TTGAGCACCGAGGCGACATACTCCTCGCCAGGCAGGCAGCACTGGGCGCTGCCGTACTCGAGGAGTGCGCCAAAGGCCCAACAGGGGATGCTTTCAATGCCTGCGTCGTATTCGGCCACTAACTCAGCGAGCCTTTCGGCGGCCGTTCGGAGCCAGTCGTTCAAGCGCTCAGTGAGGTGGGGGTCGGTGGTCTTGACTCGTCCAGGGCATGCCTCGCACACGTGGTGGATGGCGGACGCGAGTTGGATGAGCTCCTCAAGAGCAGCGTCGGGTATGGCGCCTTGGCTCATTTCGGTGGCCTGAGATTCAGCGGGGAAGAGGGAGGGCCACAGTGAAGGACACGGGGGGAGCGACTGTCAGGCGCGGAGGTTGGCAGGAACGCGGGGCGGGGGTTGGCAGGAAAGCGGGCGGGGGCTGAGGAGAGCGCGGGCCCCGTGCGCGTCCTCCCAAGACGTGGCCGCCCCGTGAGAAACTGCCCCTGCTGGCACCGCGCCTCACAAAGAAGCCGCCTGGCCGCCTCAAGTCCCCACCAGCCGGCCCATACGCCTTCTCACCACCATTTCCCCATCTGAAAAACGCCTTTTGCCTGACCCCATGGCTGTTGGTTTCGGAGGTATGTCGGGATGTGGCTTGAACGCTGGTTTTTCTGATGGCCATGCAGTCTCCGGCGGGCCGCAAAATGGATCCGAGGCCAGAGTTGGCCCTCTGGAGATTCCCTCGGAATGGTTCTGCACCCCTTCCGCCTCCGAGACGACCTTTGAGCCTGGAAACGAAGCCCCCCTATCATCCGATTCATGCATGAGCACACGCGATGAGCCGGGGATGCTTCAGCCTCCGGCTGACTCCGCACCGTCTAGCGGGCAACCCCGAGACACCCCCGAGAAACGGCCCACACACTCTGACCCACCAGGGGGTTCGGCTGTCCAGACACTCAGTCGGCCCCAAGTCCAAGCCCGATCGCCCATCTCCCCACCAGCCCTTCCTTGGTGGCTGTCGCTGATGGGCTTGGCTTCCCGCTGCGCCTGAAGCCCTTTCCTTCGCCGACTCGGGCGCACATGGGGGCCATTTGCTTCGATACTCCGTCTTCGACGCCGGCAACCCCCACCATCTTTCGAGACTGCCTCTTCGGGCCTTCTCCCTGCCCGTCACCGACGTCCTACAGTACGACCGCCAAATGGGAAGCAGGCCTCCCCGCGACACCCATGCACGCACAGCCGGCCCACGATAGCACGCATGGCCACGTTTCCAGTAACCCTTCCGTTGCGCCGCAGCCATCCAGCGAACCGGCCACAGGCCCTCGCAGCCCTCCTGTCGGCCCACCAGCAAGCGCCCCCCCCCATGCGCTTCCAGGATCCGATATAGCCCACCTACTCCTTCCCCAAGTCCCAGCTCAGCCGATGTATGTCGATCCAGGCTCCGTCAACCCAACTTCCGGTGGTGCCCTCTTCTCCGTGCATGCACCGCTGCCCACAATCTCCCCTCCCTTCTTTCCATCCCCGCCCCCCAGGGCACGCAGCGCCAGTCGCTTCAAAGCCCCTGTCTCCCCCGACCGCTCACAATGGGATACATCCGCCGCTGCCTGTCCGCCAAAATCAGTGGAGGACGAGTATTTCCCACCACCGGGCGTCACGGTCTTGGAGCTCATGGTCTGGCAGCCAACACATCAAGCCCCGGATGGCACCTCTCCAGCGGAGGGGATAGTGGAGTTTTCGAATGACGAACGGACCCCGGCATCCGAGCTCCCTTTGTGGGTCTACGAAGCCCACCACCCTCGCGTGGTGCTCCCCTCCCTGCGGCAAACCCTTGACCGGGCTGGGTCGTTTCAATCCGTCATTCATCCTTCCACCCCCGGCCTCCGCCACCCTCCTTGGGCGATTGCGCTATTGCGCGCTTACGACGCCGTCTGGGGGGGCAAACTCTTCTGGGAGGAGAAGATGCGATGGATCCACCGTGCTGCGGTGAGGGAGGGGTGGGCCACAGCTGATGGCGAGTTCGCACCCAGCATATTCGACCGCGTTGATGCCCTCAGCATCCCTCTTCGCCGCATCGCAGAGGCGCTCCTTTCAGACGCACCGCTTGACGTGGAAGCTTTCTCGGCCTGCCTTCCTGCTCTCCAACGCGACGCTCAAGTAGAATTCCCCGACGGAAATTTCGTGGTCGCCGGGCCCTTCGTTTCCTCTCCCCAGACTCCACCTCCCGCGGCCGCGGTTGCAGACGCCGTCGACGCCCTCATCTCGCCCCCCAGTGCCATCATCATAGCCCCATGGTATGACGAGGGGGCAGGAGGCTGGGTCGTGGTGCAGTTCATGATCGCCCCAGCCCACTGCGAACTGCACTGCCCTTTTCAGGCCGCAGGGACTCCTGGCCCGGACCTATTGGCCGCCATCCATGAGGCAAACAGAGAAATCGACCTCCGCCTGGGCCGCCCTGTCACAGAGTGGGTGGTGGCCAGATTATTTCCGCCGTTGCACAAAGATTTGAAGATCGCCTCATCTGGTGCGATCGCCTACGGCATCCTCCACACAGCGGTTAATAAACGTGGCATGCATCCGGAGCCACCGCTGGATGGCTGGTGGCGCCTGAAGATGCTGGGCGACGCCGCTCTTGTGCGGCAAAGGGTAAGCCCTGATGCCCTCCCACAGGCATAGCGGTGCTAAACGGATTTCTAGAACGGGTCTCCCCTGCACGCTGATCGCCAGGGCGCACTTGACTCAGTCTTGGCGACCAGCCCCGTGTCCAGCGATCTCCAAAATGCGACACCTGTGGCCCCTTCCCGCACTGACGTCTCCATCCCGGGCGCCCTGTGCCCTGAGGCGCCCTCCAACGCAAAAGCATCGACAATCGCGAACCCGTTCAGCCTGATCATGTCTCGCAAGGTAAAACAAAGCGCCGTGAGCACCCCCCACACCACATTCTCCACGGCACCAGCGTCAAGCAAACTGCCAGCCCCACTGAAGCGTCCGGAAATGCCCGCGCTCGCAGCGATGGTGGCAAGAAATGCAGCGACGCTGGCGGCGTCGATCCCTCCAGCCCAACAAACCGCACCGTATGACGACCTGGCAGCAGTCGAAGCCCGGCTTCGCGCTGGCGTCACACGCGGCGTGGCCGCCGTTGGCTCCCTTCCGTCGACTGGAGAGAAACGTGCTCCGCCAAACGTGTCCCGGAAACGCGTTCGGGCAGGGAGCGACTTAGGAACGCCGCCACCGGCTAAGAAACGCAGGGCTTTCCTTGAGCCGCGGGGCGCTGCTCAGCAACGGGCCCTCGTTTTGGATGCCGGGGCGGCCTGGCCCTGCGTCAGCCCAGTGGACCTGTCCGGAGGCCAAACGGACCCCGGCGCCCAGACCGCAAACGGCAGGCCGAATGGTGAGCCGCTTCTTTGGTTCCCCGGCTCCCTGCTTAACTCCATCGACAGGCGGGCTCACCGGCCTGCTCAATGGCGTCGTGGCCAAGATGCAGCTCGCCGAGCAGAAGCTCCTTGCAAAGATCACAAAGCGCGGTGACGACGTAGGAGGTAAGGGTGGCCGGGTCTCCGAAGCCTGTGCGCTCATTGGGACGGCCCTGGAGGAGCTGAAAATCGCCCAGCAGGCGGCGGGCGAAGGCGCTGCTTCAGCGGACCTCTGGGCCACTGATCTAGCAGGCGTGGGGGCAAGAGGGGCTCGTCCCACAGCGAGCAAGGCAGAAAGAGAGGTGGATGAATAGCATGATGCGTGTTTATGATCCATGCATTCATATCTTGAAAAGCTTTCGAGCGCTTCCTTTTTCCACCCCGCATCCGGGCACGCCCGCGGCGATCACCCCCGCCGGGGCTCGGGTCCCATGCGCAAGTCCCAGCGCCTTTACAGCCTACGTGGCCATGTCATAAGCAGGTGCCGCAGGGCCGCGGCTCGCCCCATCCTCCCCATGAATGTGATCACCGCTTCCAGCTTCTGGCTCCGGAGCTGCATTCTTCGCAGCAGCTGTTCAAGACCCGCCCCACGACTCCACAATGGGCGATAACCGGAGGATGCGGGTTTGACAGCGGCGCCACGCCTGAGTCCCCTTCCCCACCAGAAACGCTGCGCGAAACCAGCTTCGACCCCCTCACCCTCCGCATGTCCGCTTCGAGGGCCATGTGGCTGACCTCTCGCGTCCCTCTCAAACCGCACCAGAAGCTGCGTGCTAGCAGCGCACGCGCTTCCCCGGCGATGCCTCTCACCGGCCCGGGCATAAGCCAATGTATCCCGGTGTTCCTTTGGTGCGTCATGTTTGCCTCATGCAGTATGCTACGCGCCGAAAACATTCTTCCAACATCCTTGTAGATTTGGAAACTCGAGTTCTGATTGGCTGACGATCAATGTCTCGTGGATGTTTCTCAAAAAGTCCCCACGTGAAGACATACAACATGATGCAGGCATGTAACAACAAAGAAACGGACCGTAACAGCGGCTAATGCCCGCGGCGTCTCCCAACGCTGTCTCGACCCGGTTGCGCCTCGAGCGTGGTTCATTGTATGACTCGCAGCTGGTTTAAGCAGGGCTCGGGTCATCTTTAGTTAGCACCTGTACTAGTGTAGTTGCTTGCCGCGGGACACGTAAACTATGCTGGTTTGGGGGCGGCTAAGTGACATAATCGCCCGCCTCCTCCTCCTCCTCCCCTCGGGACCGTAGGCAGATTCCCCTGCGCATCAGCGCCGATTCCCCCGCGAATTTTTTCTCTTCCCGTCTCGACCTGAAGTCGTGAGTGCGCTCTCTCTTCCGCATTCTCTTAGGGCTTCGCATCACGCCCTCTGTTGGCTCACTTTGCCCCGTCGCTTTCTGTGCGCTTCCCTCCTCTCCTGGGCCATCTATTCATGCAGTGACTTCCATGGCCTCTTTTTTTATCCGAAAATAGCGCGTCGTTGTCCTCCGGGTCGTGCTATTGCGTTCTTTCCCACACTCATTCCGCGACAGACATCCCAGGCGGATGCAGGTTAGGCTGAGGAGACCATGCACGGTCCCGCGGTGATGTACCGCGGCCGTTGTTCTGGTGAGTCCTCCACTCTGCTCTCCTGCACTTGCAACGCCCACCCACGCCCCCTGCCGCCAGCCAAGAACGTCTGCTTGGACGTCCTCTTCCTCCTCCTCAGTGCCGCTCTCCTCCATCCACATCGCCCGCCTGCGCCAACCCCTGCACCACCCGCCTCCGCGATGCCCTACGCTACTCACCCGCACCACCCTCCTCCTCGCCCTACTCCGCCCGCCCCTGCCGCCTCCTTCGTGCAGCCCGCCTCCTTCGCGCCACCCTCCTCTCCTGCGCCGCCCACTGCCCCGCGCCACCCTCCTCTGCGCCGCTCGCATCTGCACTGCCCACCTCCGCACGCGTCGCCCGCTTGCACGCTGCCCACCACCCGCGTCACCCTTTTCCTCCCACCTCATCCGCGTCTGCGTCACCCACCTCCACATCGCCAAGTCCGCCCGCATCGCCCGCTGCCTCCCTCAAGGCCTCACCTCCGCCCGCGTTGGCCATCTGCGCCACCGCGTTGCCCGCCACCTCCATCCCACGCTCCTCTGTGTCGTCCCAACCCACGTCGCCCACCACCTTTTCATCCCGGCCCTCCCTGTCCTCCCGCGAGCCCTCCGCGTCGCCCCCTGCCTTCACGTTCCCCACCTTCGCGTCGCCTGCCCTCGCGTCGCCTGCCCTCGCATCGCCCGGCTTCGCGTCGCCCACCTTCACGTCCCGCGCCTCAGCCTTGCCATCCCCTCCGTCCGCCCTCGTCCCGCCCACGTCCTCGCCCTCCTCCTCTGCGTCGCTCGTCACCGCGTCGCCCTCTTCCGCCCCCACGTCCTCGCCCGCCTTCTCCACGCCCACCTCCGTGCCCACCTCGCCCGCCTTCACCTCGCCGCGTTGCCGGCCTCCGCGCGCGCGTCGCTGCCTCTTGGCGCCGCCGCGTTGCCTGCGCCCACGTCGCCCGCGTCCCGCACACCCACCCACCGCCTCTGCGCCCGCACGTCCGCGTTGCCCACCTCCGCCCGTGTCGCCCGCCTGCACCCGCCTCTGCCTCTGCCTCAGCATTGTTGTGGGATGTGGTATACCGTGTTACTTGCTAGTCTGCCTGTGTAATAGTTCACTGATAAATATATTTTGATCACCAATTGCATACAAAGTGTGGTGTGAAACAAAGGAGGTGAGCTCAGGTGGCAGGGCCCAGGGCAGTGTCGCGCCCGTGCCATGGCTGGTGCCTGCGTGAGCAGGCTCGGGGGCGCAACTGGGCCGGCCGGCACCAGATGCATCCGCACCTGCCGATCGATAGGCTTCCTAGTTGCGTGGTGAAAGCCTTGTGGCGGGCAGGCAGTGAGGGGAGACCATGGCCGAGGGGCGCTCTGGTCACTGTAGCGCCCCGCGTGTTCAGTCCTAGTGAAAAGCAGAGCGCCCGTCCGGGAAGGTCGGGCCCGATGCTGGGCAGAACACGAATGTGAGTCGCGATCCCGGACGGTCCGCTTGAGCGCGAGGCCGGAGTGCGACGCGTTCTGCGCCGCTCTCACAACCAAAGCGCTGGAGTGATGGGTGGGTGCGCTTTGAGCTGCGTGGGTGCGATGCGGGAGGAGACGAAAGGCGATGGCCTTTTGCGCGCTAGCGCGCGTCTCCCTCATCCGGCAACCACCGGCAACCCACGCCTAGAAAGCACCCGTTCGGCCGAGGCGCTCGTTCGTTGGGCCTCGTTCGAACCTCACGCTATCGCAACAGATGCATCTGGGGAATCACCACCGTAGGCTTATAACGCAGCTGTTATGGCCTGCTCCGCCGGTCTGATTATGGGCTGCAGCGCGCACCTGTAACGGACGCCTAGCATACGATCGCCCGCCACCCTGCCTTTATATTCTTGCGCCCGCTTCACTGTCTCGCCACGCGATTGCCTCCTGGCTCCTCCCCGAGGTCAAGCGCGTCCCTCTAATCCGACCCTTCTTCCTGCTCGTCTCCGACTCGCCCGACCTCCGCGCTCCGCGACCGTAACAGCAGCATTGTCTCCGCTCGGATCTACATTGGAGCAGCGGGGCCCCAGTCACTCCGCCAGTTTGGCGCCTGCACTCGCTGCCAGCCCGTTCCAAGCCAATCCAGTTTACCGGCGCCGCCTGCTGGCTTAGCACGGCTGGCTCTGACCGGGGCCTGGCCGGCCGACTCTCTGTCCTGTAGTAGAAGCGTCTGCGCAGCCAGTCGATCTTGGAACAGCTGGCGCCCTGCCGCCACCACTGCCGCTCTCGCCCAGAATGAGCCGCCTTCACGTTCGCCCACGGTACAAATTTGCGACATATCCAAAAACATTGCGGCTAAGGCACAGGCTACTTCATGCAGCAGGCGCGCATAATAGCGCCCCAGACCTACGAATATTGGAGCTCATCTTCGTCCGGGTCGCTGTCCGGTCCGGAAGCCGCTGCTTTCTGTGAGACGGGCGGGCCCGGGGGCCGCACAGAAGGGGCGGCCGCGCCCGGGAGCAGCGCACCTCCCTGGGGCCGGCCCGCCACCGTCCCTCCATTGCGCCACGGAGGGCTACAAGGTCATCGGAGAAAGCGTCGAGGGCCGAATCATGGCCCCGAATGTCCACCTCTAGGCCATCAATTCGCTCATCACGGGCCCGGCCGCAGGCCTCCAGCCTGTGCATCCAGCCTGGACCCGGGACTCAAGGGCGGTGAGACGAGCCTCCAATTGCTCGAAACCCCACTGGGGCGCGCTCCCAGGGTGTGCAGGAGCGAAGGCGGGGTTAATGGGGCGCCTGTGCGTGACAGTGTTGCTGGCGCCCTCCACGCTGCCTGGAGACGGGTCGGCCTCCATATCGACGGCCGCTCCCGTGGGCTCTACTGAGGGAGGCGTCGCCCCAGGACTGCCGTGGCTGCTGAGAGCCATAGGCGGCCTCATCCGGGCCCGTTTGGGTGGGCGTTGGTCATCAGTCGGTGTGCTATAGCCGCTGGAGCCACCTTTTGCACGCGCTCAGAGGGGGTGTGTGGGCCATAAGAAGTCCGCCGCTTACCCGCAGAGCTCGACGGAAACTCGGCACCGTTGTCCTTCTTGACGGCGGCGCCGCTTCTTCGCCGGTGCGCCATGTAGGCCGGGTGATCCTTTGGGCCGACGCGTTCATAAAAACGGCAGCGTGAAGGCAGCTTTGCGGCGCACCTTTGAAAGCTCGCCCTCGCTCATCGTGACATCCCCAAGCCTCCGTCTGAAATCCCGGGGGTACTTGAGGCCGATGACATCCCCCTGAGCGATCGCGCGATCGCGCTTGCGCTTGTCATTCCAGAAGGCGATGACATCCGCGCCCCACGATGGGATGTCGGCTCTCTTCATGCCCCACAGCTGATCAGAGACTTCCACTGGCCAGAGGCCGTAAACCTTCGGGTTTGCCGCTTTAATCCCATACCGAAGCATCTTGTAACGGCCCGTGTCGCCAGCGGTTCCACCCGAGATGGCATTCAGCTCGCAGGGCAAGTGTTTTTTGAGGCAGACGAGGCAAGTGGCCTTGCGGTCGAGGGGGTAAAACTCGCACTGCTTCCCGAACAGCTTGCAGGAGCCGCATCGCCGGTCTACGCGGTCTTGAGGGTGCTGGGGCCGCGCGTTAGCGTGTTTGCTCGATGTGACGCACCTAACTCGATACTTACATAGGGCATTCGGCCAATCGGGTATTTTGTGGTGAGCTGCAACGGAAATTCTGGAATCCCGGCCTCTGGTGGAACAAAAGGCCTTTTCCCTCCCCGTGACTGGGCAGAAGCAATGGAGGGTGCCTCGGGCGGTGGAGGCGTGGCGATCCCGGGAGGACTGTTGGATGGCCTGGATGACGACGACGAAGGAGAGGAACCTGCGGATGAATTGACCCGCCCGGAAGCGCCTCGCGAGGCCGGGCTTGCAGGGCGGACTCCCGCGGCTGGGGCACTCCAGCCGTGGCCTTTCGTCCTTGTTGTCGCCATGTTCTGGAGGCTCAGTGGTGGGAGGCGGATGGCGCGCTTGCCTCTGCTGTTGGCACTCCGTCGCGCCAGTTCACGGAGTCCCGATGGCCCGGGGGTGCTACTGCCAGTCACTTCATGCGGCTTTTTGGTTCGCCCCGCCCCGGCTGTTTCGTCACGTGCCCGCTTTTTCGGAGCTGTGCCGGATAACGGTGTGGCCATGGGACTGGCCTCCCGTGCCGACGGAGGGCTGCCGCGGCTTTCCCCATGGTGCTTTGCATCATTTGTGCCGTATTCGGGGCGACTGGACGCGGAGCCGATCTCCGGCTGGCCCGCAGCATGGCTACTGGGGGCGCGCCCCTGACGCATCGCCCTTTCATTGGGCATGCCGCCCACGGAGCCGCCAGATCCGTGAGACAGATTTGGGGACAGGCGGCGAGATACGAAGGCAATGGCTGGAGGCGCATGAGACGCGGCGGCAGGAATGGTGGGGAAGGGCGCACCTTCGGGGGCCCAGTCGACCGTGATCTGCTCCAAGGGGAGCACCCCTAGTGGCCCATCATCGCGGCCCACGAACGCCCTGCCCTCCTGCGCGCCCAGGATCCGGATGATGTGGAAAGGGGAGGGGCTGTACGCAGTGTCTTCCTGGCTTCGTGCGTATTCGGTGATGGCGCCAAGAGCCCAGCACGGCAAGGAATCGATGACAGGCCCCGCGTCCACGAGGAGGGCCCCAAGCTCCACCACGCAGCCCAGCATGAAGGACTCCCATTCACGCAGGATCTCCTGCCTTGAGGATTGCTGGTCTGGTCGATTTTCGCATAGGTGGTGGATGGTTGAGGCGAACTGCCTTATTCGCTCCACAGGAGGGGTGGCTTCTGGCATGCTGATACTGCCGTGCTGGACCAGGATGAGATAGTGAGTCACAACGATCTGGTGCCAGGCCTGCAGTCCTGTGCAGAAGTAGAGTGAGTTTGGAGCAAAGAGATGGGGCACGCGGATGCTGGCTGGCGTGCCTCTTATTGCCCGTTCAGGGGGTCTTAGGTGGCAGCCTCGTTGCTTGTTTATGTGATGGGCGCCAGCTGAGCACGTTAGGTATCCTTTCCCCGGGACACGTGCTCGGGCAGCGGTCTCGCCGCGTTCGGTTTCCGCCGGGGATCCACCGGAGTCGCTGCCGGCCGGCGTGCGTCCTGCGCCGACCGTCAATCTCCGCCGGCAACTAAGCCCCGCAGGCACCCGTGCTCCGCCGATGCCGACGTCGGCCACCAGCCGATGCTCCCCTGGTGCAGCTTGGGTGCAGCACCCATTCCGCCCTCGCGGTGCTCACTGCGAGACCGTTTTGCATTGTGGACACGGCAATGCATCGAAAAGCGCATTCTATTGATCAGTCGCTTGGCCTCCAGAGCCTCGATTCGAAAAATGATGTACAGCAATGGGGCGGTGCATACGGCATACCGCCGTCGGATGGCCCGCGCGTAGAAAGCGCCGCAGGCGTCGCATGCAGGCCCTGTGGGGCCAGGACGGGTGGCTGCAGCGCGCCACAAGACGAGAGCGCCAGCGCACCCCATCTGAATGGCGTCACTCGCCTCCCATCCCATCACTGCCGATCGCTCTGTCCGTGGCGCCAGAGGCCCTGGTCGAAAGCCCCCGCGCGCTCCAACCGATCCTCGAGGAGCTCGACGCGGGCTGCGAGCGCTTTTGTGCCGGAGGCCTGCTCCAGCAAGCGTGCCTCAAGCGCCGCGATCCGTGTCAGCAGCCTGTCCCCACCCGCGGGGTTTCCCAGTGCTGTGCTCCGCACCGAAGACCCGATGCCCCTCAAATTGCTGCCCGCCGGCATGGGCTGGGGTCCAGGAGCATGCGCCGTCCAGACACCTGCTGAGGGGTCAGTGGGGATCAAGCTGGCTCCTGCCGGCCACGCGGCAGTGCTTCTCAAAGACGGACCTCGTCTTGGGGGTGAGTCGCTTTGCCCCGCGCCAGGAATCGATGAAGCACGGTGCTCTGGTTTCAAGTGGGAGTCTGGGGAGTCGGCGAAGTGCGCTGTCTTTCGCGGGCGCTTGCGTGGCCGCTCGCCGTCCAGTGCCATATCCGAGGACGGCCCGTCATCGCTGGATCCTGTGAACGGCTCGCTCTCCTCACTGTCGGACGACGCCCTCCACAATGCATTGGCTACCGAAGGGCGTCAGGGTCATCGCGTACACCCCAGCAAAGTGCTCTTACCTTGGGCTACAGTGGTCGCTTTCGCAAGGTCGATCTTTGGAGCTCGCTGGAGCCGATCCTTGGTGTGGGCCATGTACTTAGGGTGATCCTGTGGCCTTGTCGGGGTGGGCTCCACATCTCAACGAAGAGGCTTACCTCGGGGACCTGCTTATCGGGCATGCTAACCCGTCCGAGCTCTTTGCAGAGCTTCTTCGGGTATGTGAGGTCACAGCACTTTGCCTTTCTGATGCTCTTCGCGCCTGTCCTTGTCGTCCAATGCACATCAGCTCCAAGCCCATCCGGGATATCCGGTTACCAGCCATAATCCAAATGTCGGAGACCTCCACTGGCTCGTAGCCGTAGACCGTGGGGTTAGCAGCCTGGATGGCAAACCGCAGCATCTTGTAGCGGCCGATTCTGGCAGTGGTGCCCCGGAGATGGCGTTGAGCTTGCACTTTGTGTGCTTTGACAAGCATGTGAGGCAGGTCGCCTTGATGTCCAACGGGTAGAACTCGCACGGCGTCTGGAAGGCCTGGCATGCGGCGCAGCGCATGTCAATGCCGCGGCCGGGATGCTAAGGCGTTAGGGTGATTTAGCATTCAGCAGACTGGGCACAAACAGAGAAGCAGCTGACGTAAGGCATCTGGCCCCTGGGGTACCTCTTGTGCAGATCGCTAGGGTGCCGGGGAATGCCATACTCAGGAGGCACCACGTGCGTGTCCTTCTTGCGGGGGAGTCGTTTGCCGTCGCCTGCGGTGCGTGGGACGGAAAGAGATGGAGAGGGTCCAAAGGGCGCACCTGGGGGCGGAAAGCCGTCTCCTTCGTGGCACGGTGGCCCGGCACTGGTGGAAGCCCCTGCAGTGGCGGTTTCTTCCAGCGTTTGAGGAGGAGGAAGAGACGCCCGCGCGAGGGAGGATCGGCGCGCTGCCGGGATCAGATGGGTATTTTGTTTTCCTGTGGAAAAGGGAGACGGGGTTTGGTCTTCACTGAAGCTCAGCATAAGCCCCTGCTGGTGAAGCGCTGCTCACCTTCGGGCTTCTTGGGACCCCCCCTCTGCCTCTTCCCCCTGGGCCCCGTAGCGGCAAGTTGGGCCGCCTTGCCTTCTCCAATGCCCCAGGGCCAAGATGAGAAAGGTCTCCCGAGAGCAGCCCTGGGCACATACCTTTCCTGTCGGCAACCCGTTCATCACTACTGCCATCGCCGGAGCTCCCGCTTTCAGAGCCGGAGGCGGCGCTGTCGGAGCCACTGATGCTTTGGGACCTCGACGGCACGGCAATGCCATCGTGGGCCTCACCCAGTAAAACCGCCATGACTGTCGCAGACTAAGACACAAAGGGGCGCAGAACAGAGGAGGGTCTACGCACCGGCTTGGGCCCATTCCAAGTCAATCTGATTCAACGGGAGAATGGCGTCCCCATCGTCCTTGCAAACCAAACCCATTACCATGGCGGCATCGCTGGGCGATAGATTGTCGGGGGAGAAGCGTTCGATGTTGAAGGCTGAGGAAACATAGCCGTGGCGTTGCTGGGACCTGCCATATTCAATAAAAGCACCGAGGGCCCAGGACGGAAGGGTGGTGATTCCGGCGTCGTGGCCTCCAATGGCATCCGCAAGTTCCTCCGTTGCCCTGAATAAACATTGCTCGAACCGCTGGCGCACCTCAGAAGGAGCCTTTTGTCTGCTTGGGCGATGCTCGCAGAGATGGTGAATGGCGGATGCCACCTGTTGCACGCGAGATCTGAATTCTGGGCCAGCTTTCATTGAAAAGGCAGTGTGCGAGCTGTGGAGATTGAGTGAGGGATCGGGGTGAGAGAGAAAGAGAAAGAGAGCGCATGGGCCGCCTACTCTAGGCCACACACAGCTCCAGTCACCGTTGCCCTCGTAAGGGCACAGGCGCGTGCGGGCCGTGCCCACCCGCGTCCAACCATCGCTCGCCAGCGAAAGGAGCCACCCACGCGCTACCCCCTCCTCCTCCCTCGCGCGATCTCCCAACGACTTTAGGCGCTCCATTATAATTCATTCGGCTCATCACAGTTCTTCTAAAGGTGCGCCTGATGACGCTTCCCCAGATTTGGTACTGATGCCCACCAGTCGGACATGGACGCCGAACCTCGCCATGGTGAGTGAGCAGACCCCAGCGCCGCCTCGGCAAGAGCATGGCTGACGCGCTTTTACACCCAGCTCCCAGAAGCACACTGCGATGGGCACTTGAGAGCCCTGATAGGTCGGATTGGGACACAAGTGCGGCGTATGAAGCCCCGCGGTCCGCCATGGGCACCTTTTTTCCCAACCCCGCCCCCACTGTGGCGGAGCTCGTGCGCTGGCTGCCCACCCACTCGCCTCCGGAGGGGTTTACGGGGGCCCAGGGCGAAGTGGTGTTCTCTAGTGAACAAAGAACGGCCCCGGCGGAGCTTATTCTGTGGGTTTTCGAACTCGACCATCGCGGTGTCTCCCTCCCCTGTGAACGGGCCCTCCTTGAATTGCCGTTCTCGGCCCAATCGGTCATACACCCCGCAGCCCCACACCTTCGTTACCCCCCTTGGGCAATTCTCGTATGGCGCATTTACCAACAGGCGTGGCTCCATCAGCGAGCTTGGGCGAGGGTTTTTCGGTGGGCAGCCGCTGCTGCGGATGCAGAGAACTGGCCCGACGGCGACCTTCGCTGTCTGCTCACAAAGATCGACGGCCTGCCCGCTTTCCACCTTGAGCTCACCCTGCATGCTGCCACAATCCTACCTCAAGGCCTTCTTTCGGATGGCGCCTTCGAAGACTACCTAGGCTGCCTTCAGCCGCTGATTCGCCGATCGCCCATTTCCGACCAGACGGTGCTCGCCGACACCTCCTTTGCCGCGATGGTGGACGGGCCTGAGGAAAGCCTCGCCATAGCGACGGTTCTGGGAGCATTATCCGAACCACAACAAGGACTCATTCTGGTGCCATGGGCCAGTGCCATCAAGGGCCGCTGGGCCGCCGTCCGTTTCCATATCCCCAGCTCCCGGTACACGGTCGTCGATCCGCATGCTGGTTCCGAACAGCTGAGTCCAGAGATGGAAGCCTTCGTTCATCGCACGGGGCGGGCAATCGACAACCACTTGGGCCGGTGTAGCATTCGATGGGCCCAGGAGGAATCGGCGATGGCGACGCACCTCCCGTCTGGCACGATGGAGTCCTGCGCTGTGGTCTACAACTCCCTCGAGCGGCTGATCTGCCCCAGCGTCGTCCCGTGGGATGCTGCGAAAGCGGGATGGCACCGCGGAAAAATGTTCATGGCTCTGGTTGGCCTCTGGGAAACGGTGAGCAGGCGCCGTTTTCTTGACAAACCCGACGCTGACCCGGATGCAGAACGGGCGCCCGCTGCGATGGCCTGGCCGATGCCCACCGTGTGACATCACGACAGAGCTTCGCAGATTCGACGACCCATTTACAGAGCACAGCGCCAAAAGCGACATCCTCACACCAAGCAGTGCAATCGCTTCCGAACGCAGTGCTCGGCCTTGCGATCCTCGAGATGCCCAGCAGCCTTCAACCGGCAGTAGCCAACCAGGCCGCCGAACACCACCGCCTGCCCTCCAGTCACGCCCTGCATTGCCCACCTCCCTTCCCGCGCACTCACCCGCACTTCCGTTGCCCAGCAGCTCAAACGCGGAGCTAGTTTGGGCGATCCCTCAGCCACAGCACCCAGGGCCTGCTTCACGTGCTGGCCTCTTCGGTCCTGGCGGCGCAGACGGCTTGGGCCCACTGGGAGCGGGCACTGGAGTCACTGCTTTTGCCAGGGGCCACACGGCTGTGGAGGCCGCCTCTGTGGCGGAACAAGAAACGGGGCAAGTGGGCCACGTGCGCCCCTATGGCCTCGGCGCATCGCCGTTCTGGCCCAGCGCAGACACATCTGCAGGCCCTGGGCTATGGCACGGCGGAATCGCAAACGGGGCAAGCCGCGGGGGCACAAGCCGGCCCCTCCTTTTCGCAGATGACACCTCTGGGGCCTCTACGGCTGCGGGCAATGCTGGCCTGCTGGGGCCGGCAGCAATGAGCCATTTGCTGCCCGACCTCTCAGCGCTGCTCAAGACGCGCCCCGCCGGATGGCAGCTCCGAACGCAAACCCCCGTGCATTCCCGGTCGCCTGAGGTGCTCCGCGCGGAGGGCAGAGGTCCCCCACAGCAGGCCATTGGGACCGTGGGCGAGGAGGCGCCAAATCAAGACCATCCGAAAGGCCCCGCAGGCCCCAGCGGGCCTGTCCTGCACGCTGCTCCATCGGCCAAGAGACGACGCGAAGAAGACAGCGACCCGGGGGCAAGCGGTCGTGAGGCCCGCCCGCCCGCGTCGAAGAAGCCACATGGCGATGCGCATAGCGCGATGACACTGCCCCCAAGGCAGTCAAGCGAGCCATCCTCCGCAAGCCAGCTGGGAGGCAACCAAATGGCGGGCGCCCGTTCGATCGAGAGGGCGGACGGCAGCGATGGCGATGTCGCCTCCGGTGAGCGCAGCCTTCGGCCTGCATTCTCCTCCGTCCTGACCAGTTGACAGTCTTTCTGATGCGACACCTGGGCGGTGTGAGGACGAAGGTGCTTCTCGCCCGAAGCAGACTGGAGCGGGCCGTGGATAGTGGCGACTGTGGCGTCGTGGAGCAATGCGATCTGCTGCTCGAGCAGGCCTTGGCTGGCCTCAAAGTCGCGAAGGCCTGGGGCCACGATGCCCCGTAGCGGCGCCCTTCCGTAGCATGCGTGCTTCGGAGCCCCTTGCCGTTATTAGATGCCATAGTATAAGCTGCTTTCATGCCGCCCTTGAAGCTTTGCTCTCGCTGGGCTCTGGGCATTGCGTGTGCGCCGGTGGAGCTGATCCCCGGCGGCAGTTGATCTCCGGCGGCGGCCGTTGTCCGGCAGCAAAAACGCAGGCCGCCAGGCGCCTCTCTGCAGGGCGCCCGACGCCTCGCCCATCCTCAGCACACCATTTGCCTCCCCATGGAGAAGAGGCGGTCAGTCTCCCATTAGATCCCATCATTGCTACGAAAGGACTGCCAGATCGCACGCCAGGCATTGGCGGCGGGAACAGAAGAGCGTATTCGATACATACACGACGACAGCTCAGGCTGCTCAGGACGCATGCGCCCACTTCCTCCAAGTGATGCGCAGTTGACGAGGTGGAAATGTTTTCCTGCATTGTGGCAACTGGCTCGACAAACCCGAAGAGCAAACGGACGGGGGCCGCTCCGAGCTGCAGTTAGCGCGCTCGAGAGCGAGCACAACCACAGCATTCGTGAGGGGCCCCCATATGTCCTCAGCTGTCTGCATTGGCGCTCGCCGAGATGAATTTGCACTACCCGCGAAGGTGCGTTCATTGGCATCCCGCTCACAACCATGTGTGGCTCATGAGTCCCCAGCTTTGCTCCCGCCGCGAACGTGACCGGCCCCGGAATTTAATCGCGCCAAACGCAAAGGGCGCCACGGCGCTGCTCGTGGAAAGGCCGGGCCGGATACGCTCGTCGTCGTTGGCAAAAAAAGGAGCCGTCATGGGCCACAGACGTGGGTGATCACGGACGATGTGGTCCGTGCTGGTATCCCTGTGGCATGCAGACGCCCTTGCATGCGCCGTGGGACCTGCGCGGGAGACCACTGAATCGCGGAGAAGGATGCCGGGGCAGAAGCGTGACGGGTGCGGTATGCTTGCTGCCTGAGGGGGCATGGGGCCTGAGGCTGGGCGGCAGGTTTGACAGAGCCTATTGTCGGCATTCAGAAGGCACAGGTAATACCGAACCTTCACTACCGGGCGCCAATATGCCCCTTATCTGTCGATAAGGGGGTGTATTAGAGGCCCACGCCATCATCTATTCCCCCACTGCCATGTGTTTCCTGAAGACAGCAAAAGGTATATACTACGTTGAGCTTGTGTCCCGCGTAGTAGAGGTCGCTGTTGCTTTCCTTGCCGAGATGATCACCGCTGACCGCTTGAAACGTAGATATCGGACGTTGCCCCGACAATATACTTGGAATGCCCGGTGAACGGCTGCGAATCGGTAGAGGTCGACTTAGACCCGTACGATGTGGCAAGTAATGCCGACGCTCCAAAGCTGTATGTGCGCTGATAATATGCGTCTAGGCATTGGTCTTTCCGCGTCCGAATTTTGGCCAAATGGTCCGGATCCGCGGATTCGTTGAGCAGGACAACGCGTTTGAGTGCAAAGAGCTCATAACGGCACAAGAGGCGACGTGCACCGACGGTATGATCTTATCGGCTTAATATCTATGTTCGCTGACCAGGCCTGATAGAGACCACGCCTCGTATGGCCCTCTTCCAGAACGGGCCTTGGCAGCTGGAGGAGAAGCAAGTCAGATTACGGGATAGGAATGCGCATCGTAAACCTTTGCATCGGAAGGTTTAAATGAAAAAATTGTTCCCGGTGTGTGCGATTGCCGGAGCACCGGGCATGCCGAAGCCTATTAAAGTGCTAAAAGGCGGAGTTTCCGGCACAGAACTCACTGCCGGATGTGTGCAATCGCTATTGCCGATGCGGATGCGTCTATGCAGCTAAATACAGCGCATAATCTGCTGAAGAGGTCTGGGATGCGCCAGACGCACGGCGCGGAGCATCTCTGCGCTTTGCCTCAAAAGATGTGTTGGCATGCGGCGGTGTGCAGGGCAAAAGAGAATTGCTGATGGGACCCCCAGGCGGCGTGGCGACAAAGGCGCAGGCTTCTGCCCGAAGCAGAGTGGCGGATCGATGGATGGCGGCGAATGTAGCGCTGTCTGGCCATCGGATGCTCTGTTTAAGGAGGCCTTGGCCGGCCTCAAAGCCGTGAAGCCGTGGAGGTGCGGCGGCCCATGATAGCGGCCTCCCGTCCCAGGCACACTCTGAGTGTCTTTCCCGCCGTCAGCAGCTATAGGACGTGCGGCTTTTGTATTGCTTTTAACAGCTTTCCCAGTTTCAGGGCCACGAATTCCGGCTGCCGTCAGCCCCTCCGTCCGCATTGGGCGCCCTATAAAGCCGATCTCCGGAGGCTGTTGATCCCCGGCGGCAGTCGATCCCCGGCAGCATGCGATGCATGGCCTCTTTTTGCCCCCCCTTTGCATGAAGCCATATCACTGCCACGCCCCGGTGAACCCCCTTCGCTTCGCTCTCTTCAAGACACTCGGACAGACCTCGAGCCGCGCGGGCGATTCAATGCGATGTACACCCCGTGCGCCACACCCGGGTGGATCCTGCGGATTTCCTCGGCCACCCGGCGTCTTCAAGGGCGTCGGCTCTCTCGGCCTATCACGGGCTCCAGGGGGCGCCTGGGAGCCACGGTGTGATCAGGGCTTCCAGGAGGTCAGGGATTCCGCTTCACGCGTTCCTGTGCCCAGGCCGGCCGGTTCAGTCAGGAATCACGACAGCGCCGGCAGGCAGGGACGGTGATGCGGAATATATGAATGCCTTCATTGCCAACACACCGCCATACAGATTGCACGCCGATGCCTATTTCACCGCTGTAGCATACAAACCTCACTCAAATTGGGGACGAAGCCGTGCATGGTGCTAGCAGCGTTGCCTGAGAAGGAGAGAGAGACGAGTGTGGCGACGGGCGCGGAAGCAGCCATCTCGTCTAAGTTTGCGCGCAGTGAGGGCAGCATGGCGACGCAGGGTCGCAGGCGCGCTGCTCGGGCGTTCAGGACGCGGGCCACGAACGGCGCGAGGGGGTATGCGCGGAGCGCCACGACAAGGGCGACACGAACGGCGTCCGATGCACACGTCCCCGAGGCTAAATCCGAAGTGTGCGCGTATGGTCCATGAGCTCAGGGGCGAAGGAGGAGCGCGAACACGACGCACCCAGATGAGCAAGTGCACGACGAAGCGCAAATCGTGGTCGCGGGCAGGCGGTCGTCCGAGATCTGTGGAGAACCGCGTGGGCATGGCACACAAGCGCGCACGCGCTCGGACAGGCGGACGCACCCGAGGAGGGCTTGCTGCAGGCGCGGGAGGCCTTCGGAGGTTGGCCAGCGCTGCGTCGCAGTCAGTGGCTGGCAAGGCACGGGAGACGAACCTCGAGCACCAGCATGCCCGACGCGGCTGCCGCGAAGTGGTTGTTCCACAGGAAGCGCCTCGCCCCCTTGCCCTGCTCGATGCCCGCGCTGCTGGTACCCAATCAGTGCCCTCCAGGCCAGAGACTTTCGGGATGGGGTGGGGACTCAAAAGGTCCCGGGCAGGGCCTGCATCGAGCCGCGCTCTTCCTGCGACACGCCTTTGTAGCGCAGCATGGAGCACGCGTGGACGACGAGGACGTCCCCGTGGCCGAACAACGCGCCCTGTGCCTGTGAACGTGCGAGGAGGCCCACGAGCGGGGTGAGGTCCGTCGTGAACGGATCTTACGGGAGCCTGCCGAGCCTGTCGGCGTGAAGCTTGAACGCGTCGAGCAGCACGCCTCAGCCGCAGATCCCGTGCTGGGCCTAATCTACAGCGAGCGGGTGCACGATCAGTGCATGGGCCACGATGTAGATGAGGAGCGAGGAGATGGAGCGGAAGAGAGGACGCACTGTGGATCCCGTACTTGGCCAGCTCTGCGCTGACGTCGTCGGGGCCATGGATGCTGAGAGCGCCGTCTTTGAAGAGGGAGCGGTCGACACGCTCAATGATGCCAAACTGTTTTATCCCGTCTGACCACTGCGTGCCGGATTGGGCAGATAGAACGTAGACACAGACACACCATTCTCATGCGTGGCCTCCAACTTGAGCGCCGCGATGTCCACTCCTATCGCATTGCACGCCATGCCCGTGAGGCCTGCCGTGAGCGCATTCCGCTGCCTGCTGTCAGTGGCAAGCTTGGGTGAGAACGTCGTGCGTTTCAAAGAGCGGGACGGCAAAGCTCGACGGAGCAGTCGAACCCTCATGGAGTTCTCCATCGACGCCCTTGGCAGCCGGGGCGACACGGGGAGAACGGCGCAATGCCACGTGTGCAGAGGCCCATCAGGATTCTCAGAGGAGGACTGGATGTGGGCATTCATGGCACTCACCTCAGCGTTCAGACCCCACCCATCGCCCGAATCCCTCGCCCTAACACTTGCAAAGGCAATTGGCCCATTGGTGGCGCTATCAATCGTCTTCATGGGGCGTGTCGAGGGCGCAGATGGGAGGAGGAGACAGGCGGCCCATATTTGGCGCCCGCGGCATCGCGATAGCGCGCAGCGTGGGCAGGCCCACCGCGTGACCGCGAGCCCGCCATGGAATGGCGCTATGGCTTCGAGGAACGCTCCCTCCGTCTCTTTCTCAACGCAAGGCGGGCACAATCCATCAGCGCGGTGCCCGCAGCCGGGCTCGAAGAACAGGTTGAGGTGCTCCAGGACCGTAGACGGGAGCGCAGCTGACAGTTTCGACTGTGTGGCGCGCCGAAGCATAGCAAACGAGGCTGGTGATGAGCGAGGCCTGTGAGAAAACCGGAAGCACGTATACTGACCCTGTAACTGACGGATCGCCCGCCGCCCTGCCTTTATATTCTCGCGTCTGCTTCCCCGTCTCGCCACGCGATTGCCTCCTGGCTCCTGGCTCCTCCCCGTCGCCTCTCCTGCCCGCACTCCCCGCTACCGCGAGCCTCTCCGAGGTCAAGCGCGTCCTCTAATCCGATCCCGCCTTTCTGCTCGTCTCCGACTCGCCCAACCTCCGCGCTCCGCGACCGTAACAATGTGTACACGATTGCAATTCTAGAATAAACAGTCCTCACATTGTCCCACGCAGATTGCGACATCGCGGCCGCATGTGAGGAAGTCCTCAGTGTGAGCAACAGCAGCTGGAGTAATACGCAGTAGGCCTCAGTACGGCGCGCTCGAGAAGAGTGCAAGACTATATAATCCGTGCCTGTAGCAATGCGCAATACTGCACCATTTTGAATTATTCGAACGTCATGCGTCACAAGCCCTCCGAAAGTTCGAAATATCTGGGGTCAGTCACGCATCACAAGCCCACAGTTCGAAATCGCTGGATGGGCGCTTCCCGGCATACGCATTAATTCGTTTCGTATGCCCGGAGCATTTTCGGCCTTCTGGGCGTGCTCTGTGCTAACCCGTGGCATAGATGAGTGCTTTTTTTCTCTAATGATGGTGCACCCAGCGTGTTAAAGACAGTCTGGTTCGAATATTTCAGGGTGGTCACGCCAGCCCGGCCCCCAGTTCGAATCCACCTGGCGTACTTGGGCTGTCACGCACCAAGGCCCGGTTCGAATAATTCGAAACGGTACAGTGGAATACAGCACAGAACGAGCAAAGTGGGATGAAAGTGAGTAAAGAAGTGCGCGTTCACCCTCAGCACGGCACGCTCGAGAAGAGCGCAAGACTGAGGGCAGCGCTGCGCGGGCGGGATGGTGTAAGTGACGAACGCGACTGACGGCTGCGGACTGGCGCGCGTGTATTTCAGCAGGAACGAGAGAACGCGAGGCAGGAAGAAAAGTAATAGTGTCGTAGGATAGACCGTGGCAGAGCGAAAGTCCGGGCGGCATCGAGATAAACATGGGCGCACATCGCGCGCACCACGCGGTGCGGGATCAGTGTGCCGCGAGCGTGGACGGCCAACGTCCGGCGACGTGCCGCTTGCGGGGCGCAGGTTGTGCTCCAGCACTCAGCGTGAGTGTTAGCACAGGCGCATCAATGGGTGCCCCCCGTTGGATAAGCTCGCGCAAGCGGTGCCTTCTTCACGCCCGATCTCGACCGCCGTCCGCCTTGTCCCAACGCTGTCAACCCGCCACCACCGCTCAACGCGCATTGGTCCATACTTCGCATCCTCCTCCCAGTCCTTCCGGTGCGTGAAGTCGGCCGCTCCAGCTCGGGGCCAAGACATCGCAATGGCGCGCAGCGTGGGCAGGCTCGTCGCGAACTCCTCAGGAATGAGGCCACGGCCTCGAGGAATTTCCTCTCTCTCTCGGGACACCCCTCTCCCCATCCCACGGGATGCCCGCAGCCCGCAAAAAGAAGAGATTGAGGTGCTCCAGCGCTGTCGACCGGAGTGCATCCAGCAGTGCCGACTGTGTGAGGCGTTGTGCGCAACAAAAGCATAGTCAGTGAGCCTGGTGAGAAGGGAGGGGTGCAGGAAAACTGGACTGACCTTGTAGATGACAGGCTTGCACTTTCCCTCTGTGACGGTGATCTCCAGGGAGCGCAGGCGCGGATTTCCCTGCAACAGGAAGGCCCACATCTGCCTCGCGTCGTCCGAATTGCCCGCCGGCGTCGGCGCACTCCACCGCGCCGGCTCCGGGTCGTTCAAGACGGCCCGCCGTGAAAACCCCCAGGGCGATAGGCCGGGTGGCGCGTACAAGGGGGGCGAGGAGCCGAGCGTCGTTCGTTTTGACGAGCGGTAAGCAGACCTCGCCCAGGGATACCAAGGGGACTTCTCCCAGGCGCTTGGCGCTTTCTGCAGGAACGCCGATGCAGCCTGAGATGCGGAGTTCCGCAAGGCGGAGGGGACTCCGGGAGCCATGTGCCGGCATAACCAGCGCCGCAGGAGGGCCACACCACTGCAGCTGAAGATGGCACGCTTTGACGTTGGCGCAGGCGTCAACGAGAACGGCGGCGATGCTGGGGAGGCAGCGGAGGGAAAGCTCCCTGACGGACGGGATAGTTACTGAGGGGTATGGACCAGGGATGGCCGGCCCGCCTCGTCGGATCTAAAGCGGAGAGTGCGCAGTCTCGGGGTGCAGGAGAGGGCGGTGACGAGGGCGGCGACGTCGATGGTGATGCTACGAAGCCAGGAGTTGGTGAGCTCGAAGCAGAGGGAGGTGAGGTTTGGGGCGGCCAGGACCATCGGGAGTTGCTGGACGGCCCACGGCCCCGTTCCAAGGAAGACCACCTGCTCGAGGCGGCCCATGGCGCCCAGTGGGACCAAGCCGCACTGCGGACTCTGAAAATGTCCGAGGTCGTCGAAGTAAAGGCGTTCGAGGCGTTCTGTCGCAGCAAAGAGGCGACTTATGTGGGCGAGGTCGGGGTCGGTGAGTCCACAAAGTTTGAGGCGGCGAACGTATCGACCGCGGCGGAGCTCGAGGAGGGGGCCGCTTGTCGATAGGACTTCGGACAAGGCCAGCACTTGGAGGCCGGTGGAAGGGGGCTTCTCGGGGATGTCGACGGTCAGCGATCTAAACGCATCGGGGACGTGCAAGAAATAAAGCCTTTTCGCTGTGTGGGACAGCGAGAAGGCATTTTGCCCATCCAAGAGCGCGAAGACCATGCACAGGAGCTCGTTGGGAAGGGAGAGGAGGCTGAGCATGTCTGAATGAAGGCCGTGTTCTGGGAGGGAGTCGTCGCAATAAAGCCGCTGCGGCAGGGGGGAGACGGGTGGGTTGGTGGAGGGGCGTGGTGGTGGGGCCGTTTATGCATCCGTCCCCTGGTTAGGCCACGTCGAGTGAAGAGTGCGGCTGAGCCGTCAGCGGTGTTCCTTTCTTTGCGCAGTCACGGCCAGAACAAAGGGGCCTTGCGGTGGGCAGGCTCTCGGGTAGCGAGGCATGCGGAGCTTGGCCCCCGGCGGGGATCGATTGCCGACCGGATGGGCGCTGCCACCCGGAGCCCGTCGGAATTCAACCCCCGGCGGGGCTCGATTAGCGACCGGACCGGGGCCGCCTGCTGGCATGCCGTGGGCGTAATCCGACCTCCGCCGGGGATGGCATATCGATGCCCATGGGCTTGCCGCCCACACGCGTGGCTCGAGCGGCGTTCCCCCATTCCCACTGTGGCTGAGAGCTAGCTGAGGCGCCGCCGAGCCTGTGGCCCGGGGGCGACGTATCGCGTATCGATGGGAGCGCTTTCCGAAAGGACTGGGCTTCGCGCCCCCTGCATTGTGGCCGCGGTCCCCGCTTGCCACGCGGCGATGAGCCCGTCAAGGGGTCTTCTTTGTCTTGGTCGACGCACGCTCGCGAAAGCCGGGCCTTTGTTCGCCTTTTGCAGTGCCGTCGCGCCCTGAGCATGGTCGCCCCGGCTGGCTGGCCCTCCGCTCTCGCCTCGGCAGACTGCCGCTGCGCTGTTCTTTGAGCGTCGCTCTGTGCGTAGGCCGGGGTGCCACAGACGGGCGACGGCTCTCGTGTCATAGCTGCCCATTCCACACAATCCCACGCAACGCACAGCGCGCGCGTGGGTCCCCGCCTCCCCTAGCTTGCGACTGACGCGATCTAGGCCTGTGCAGCATCGAGCAAAAGACCGACGCGCGGGTGGTTTGCCTTTCGACCGGGACGAAATGCGCCTGACAGTTCAAGAATCGGCCCATCAGCGATGCAGATGCTCAGCCGGATGAAATGCATGCTTTCTGCCAGCTTCTATCCGCATTTCCTCCCAGCAGGCGCCCTGCATTGCCCATCACGATGCGCCGTGGCAGCGCCGTTTCCCTATTCGGGCCCCGCGTATGCGTTGCTTCTTGCCGTTTGCCGGACGCCTGTGCGCCCACTCAGCCCGCCCCCCTCTGTGGCGACATCATGACCGGGGCCGCCGTCTTCAGCCCCTCTGAACGCGTCTTCAGCCCTCTAAAACCTTCTGAAGCCTGTGCGTTCTCACTGGGCTTCAACCACGCAACGCCCACGCATTGCCCACGTCTTTTCTCACCGCACCGCCACGTCGTTTGCGTCGCCCCCGCGTCCTCTATCTTGTCCCGCCACTGCCATGCGCCAAAGAACCGATAGGGGCGACGTCGGTTTGTGAATGCCTTTCCTCTCCATGCAGCACGCACGCCTTCTCCGAGCAGCGTGCATTCTGGGCTGTCGGGCAGCCCATGGGAAAGCGGCATCCATGTTATGGCCTGCTTCGCCGCCTGTCTGGTTACGAGCTTCGGCGCGCACCCACTACGGATGCCCAGCAAACGATCGCCCACCACCCTGCCTTTATGTACTGCTCCCACACCTACCGTCACGCTGCGCGATCGCCTCCTGGCTCCTCCCCGTCGCCTATCCTTCCCGTCTCCCCGCTACCGCGAGCCTCTCCGAGGTCAAGCGCGTCCTCTAATCCGATCCCGCCTTTCCGCTCGTCTCCGACTCGCCCGACCTCCGCGCTCCCGCGCTCCGCGACCGTAACAATCCATTGTTTGGTGAATGCTATGGCCTGCTCCGCCTATCCGTTTACGAGCGTCGTCGCGCACCCGCAACGGACCTCTTAGCATGCGATCGCTGCAGCCACTAATTAGTGTGCATGGTTCATACGCCTACCTCCGCATCCCTTCGGCACGCGATTGCCTCAGCCTCCCTCGTCATCCCCCGCATTTCCTTCCCTCCCGCTCTGCGAGCCATTCTTACACGCTTACGCCACCCGTACCCACCTAATCGACACCCTCTCCCGCGCACGTGCACCTACCCTTGTCCGCGCCCGCTCGACCTCGCCCGCGCTCCCGCGCGACCCCAACAGTGAACAGCGAACTGGCGGAAGGGTATGGATGCAGCCCAGTGTGAGGGTCTGCATACGCATGAGCAGCGGGAGGCGCGGCCATACGTATGAGCGGTGCGAGGCGCGGGAGCACATATGAGGACGGGAGCGAGGGCGCACATATGAGCGGTGCGAGGCGCGGGAGCACATATGAGGACGGGAGCGAGGGAACACATATGAGCGGTGCGAGGCGCGGGAGCACATATGAGCAGCGGGAGCGAGGGCGCACATATGAGCGGTGCGAGGCGCGGGAGCACATATGAGGACGGGAGCGAGGGCGTACGTATGAGCGGTGCGAGGCGCGGGAGCACATATGAGGACGGGAGCGAGGGAACACATATGAGCGGTGCGAGGCGCGGGAGCACATATGAGGACGGGAGCGAGGGCGCACATATGAGCGGTGCGAGGCGCGGGAGCACATATGAGGACGGGAGCGAGGGCGCACATATGAGCGGTGCGAGGCGCGGGAACACATATGAGCAGCGGGAGACGGGGTGCGCTGGTAAACGCAGGCGTGGCGGTGCTACATACGACCAGCAGTAGCAGCAACAGAGCGCCCGCTCATATGAGCTTATCCGAACGCCAGTAGCGGGGTATTTGGTCATTGATATGAACGCCAGTGGCGGGGTATTCTGTCGGCATGCGCTGGCTCCCCAGTGCTTTAGCTTTGTCATGTGCTACGAGACTATTGTGGGATGAAGGACGCATGTCCCTGCCCAGCTATAGTCACAGACAACGCGCACATATTCATTGTTAGCACATGCACCGAGCGTTTTACCCAATCGATCGCATCGAGCTACCGCTCGTAACGGAACTTGGCAGAGTAAAGCCCTAAACGCATAGAAGATCAGCAGCCGCACCCACGTACTTCATACGGGAGAGGCTCACCATCGAGGCCCCTCGTCAAGCCCAAGATCGTGCGTGAGATTAGCCCCCGCCAATCCTCTCCAAATGTCCCCCGGCCTGTTCGCCGCACCCTTGCCCTCTATCCACTTGCTCGTCTGCCCCCACCGCAGCTTGACGCTTGGTCATCAGTTCTACTAGGGTTAGATCATCTAGCGCCGCATGCGCCTGTCCGGTTTCAAAGCCGGGAGATCAGGCCGGGAGACACACAGAGAGCGCAACAACAGCGGGAGGGTCTCGACGCGGAGGGCCCCGTCGCGCGCCAGTCGTCCACCTTGGCGATGTTTGACGCGTGGCGGCGCTGGACAGCGGCGGCAAAGTGCAGAAAGAGATGGACTGGCTCGGACGAAGACCGGGGTACGGCGAGCAGAGGTTCCTGGCGTCGCGGAAGGTCGAACAGAGGAGCGGCAAACTTCGGGACGAGGAGGGGACGGACCATGTTTTCGCACACGCCGCCCTCGCCTCCTCCAGCCACCATCTCGGCATACCGGGGGCGGAAGGCAGGGGAATCTTTGGTGTCCCAGACACGCCTTGGGCCGGCCATGTTTGGACACGTGACGTTTTTAGCCACTGGTGGTTCGGAGGGCTGTGAGAAGCGGGAGGAAGTCGTGACAGTCGTCCGGGCGGGAGATCCTACTGGTCAACATGAGGGAGACGAGATGCACACACGACCCCCTTCAGAGAAAATGACAATAATGGGCATACAGGACGCGCGGGGCGGGGGATGCGGTCAAAATCCAGAGAAGGGTGCATAGACGGCGGTCGCGTTACATGAGGGTGCGCACGTATGATACATGCCTGGGCCGAGATCAGGAAGGAAACAATATCTGGGAATGTTCTGTTTGGAAGCACTTACATTTCTCCCAATCCTTCTCCTCCCTTGGCCTCGTTGTCGGGCCGCAGCGCCGCAGCCTCCAAGTCGTGATCAAAAACACAGCGCGCAACGTACGCGAGGAAACGATACATCCAGCTATCACGTCGCGCGACGGCGCACCGGAGCAGCGGCTCGCCACGCTTGAGGTACATACCGCGTCCAATTCTCTCCGCATTTCTCACCCACGCGCGCCCCCACTTCTGTCTTGTGTGCATTCCACACGTGTGCGCTACCGCCCATACCGACACCTCGCGGAATAGAACCCTGCAAACGGAACCGGTCAGCCCCCGCGTGCACGACAGACACGGAGCACGACCAGCGCTCACCGTCAAGGCTCCTCGCAGCGTCAAAGTCCGCGTGTTGGATGAGATCCCGCGCCCGCTCGCCGTCCTCCCGCCAGATCTCCACCAGTCTGCGTGTCGCACCCTCGCCCTCGACCCACCACCACCGCTCGTCGCGCGGGACCTCCTCCCGGAGCTGCCGTAGCCTCCGCAGCGTGGGGCGCACGAACTCGTTCGTCGGGCCCCACCGCCGCTCAGCGTCGTCCTCGCGCGCGAGCTCCGCCGCGAACTCTGTAGACAGGGCCGGCACGCGCCCCGCGTGAGCTTCCGGGCCGTCGAAAGCGCTCGGTGCAGGCAGACAGGAGCGCAGGGCGACGAGCCGGAGCGACGGGGCGGCGGCGACGAGCCGCTGCGGGAGCGAGAGGAGTGCCTCGACGCGGCGGACCTCTGTCGCGCGCTGGTCGTCGACCCTGGCCATGCTAGTGACCGACCACGAGTGCGTGGGCGGCGGGAAGTGGAGGGTGAGGTGGACGAGCGACGACGCATGCAGCGCGGGCAGCAGCGAGTCCTGGTCGTGCGAAGCCCGGGGATAGTCAGGGGCGTGGAGAAAGGGCGCGGGGTAGAAGGACGTACCACGTAATCGCGCACCTTGCACCTTGCAACTGTGACCTCGAGAGAGCGGAGGTGGGGCACCGCGCCGCCCAAGGATTTCCATACGTGCTCCGGTTCGGTCAAGACGGGGTCCATCTGCAGTTTAAGAGTGAAGGGCTGGGTTGCTTCGAACAGCGGGAGTAAGTTGAGGACCGCTATGCCTGATAGTGACGCCAAACTGTTCCCTAACGATACAGAGTTGACGCGTCCAATGCGTCGGGCGGTGTCTTTGGTAACGACAGCGCGCGATCGAATAACGAGCTCCTTGAGGTTGGTAGGCCACTGGTCATCCGCCCCCAGAGATAATATCGGGTTCTCGCCATACAGCCACAGCGACAACGTGAAGAGATTGGGGCACAGCGTCACGAAATTCGCGGCCACCGCTGAGGAGCATGTGAGGGAGAGGTGGCGGATCGAGGGAAGGCTTTTATCGGGTGTTCCGAAGGTGTTCAGTAGCACGGGGACATAGTTGAAGTCGACGGTACAAGTGTGTATACTCGGGATTGAGGCAAGGACGGATACGAGTTCCGCGAGCCCGGAAGTTTGATAGTCGGAGTCAGCCAACTCGAGTGTTAAGGATGCAATGTTCGAGCTTGCAAACATGGCTTGCAGAATAGATATCGTCTCAAAGGTGATAAATAGCAGACACGCTTGCTTGAGATAGCGCATTGCACCAATGATTCGGCTGAGAACTTCTTCATCTTCTCCGATGAAGTATTCGAAGTTCCAGAGCTCGATGGTGCGGAGGTTGGAGGCGTGGCTGAGAAGTTCGTGCAGAATCGGTACGTCGGGTCGTTCAAAGAACGACGTGGTGAAGTGGTGGAGATAGTGGACGCGCGGGACCTGAGAAAGCGGCTCTGGTGCGCGCATGTAGTCCGACAGGGCGCGAGCCTCAGAGGAATCGCCTAGATCGGGCACCGATCCGTACGTGTCTCTGCTCCAACGCAGACTGGCGAAGGCGTGGGAGATAGCGAGTCGATACGCGCGTTTGGATGTGTACGCCATCGCGAGTGCCTCCGTGCGGTCCAGGAGGGAGAAGATTTCGAAGAGAACATCGTCGTTCAGCGAGAGGAGGGGGGTGGAAACCACATGCATGTTCCAGGTTTGACGACGTGCCCGGGGTAGATCTTCAGGATGGATACTGGCGCGCGGTGTCGCTGAGCAGCCGGGGAGGGAGGGAGAGGAGAAAGAGTACCAGGCCATCACACGCAAATCACGCGTCTGTGACTCGCGAGTGGCGGGACTTGGGGACGGCGTCTACGTATCTTCTCCTCAACCTCGTCGGCTTCCTTTCCCCTCTCATCCGCACTGTACATTCTGTCTTCCACCCTGTAAACTCGGCGTCTTCAAAATTCCCAATTCGCTCAGCGACCGACGGTCCAACTCTCGCCTTTCAATGGCCCCCATAGGCCTCAGGATCAGGTTATCGCTGTCGCTGGATACGGGGGATCGTAAGCACTCATTTCTACGACCTCCCAGGCGATGAACATGTGTGTTGGAAGCCTCCTTCCCCTGGTGCGTTCCCTTGCCCTCGTTCATCGCGCCGACTACGCACGTTTTCATCAGCGTCCCTGCGCGCCGTCAAGCCCTCTTTCTTTGCTGCACCTCCAGCTCGACTTCCGGACCTTACGTGGCACCTGTCACGCCTTCTGCAAGGTCGGCGACGACGACAAGTGTCCCGTCGCTGCGCTACAGCTCCGCTCCGTGGCCTCGCCCGGACGATCTCCACGTTCGGCCCTCTCTCAATCGCCGCGCTCTCGTCGTGCGCGCCCGCGCCTATACATACCGACAAGGTGTCCATTTAGGTCGGAGGGTGCGTCATGTGGCTGAACCAACGGCGGGTCGAGGAATGGGCGCAGGCACGAGGTCCGCGAGAGCGGGCTCATCGAGAGCAAGTGCGGTCGTCGATCCGGGAATGACGCTGGATGGTGAGTGCTCCCGCGTTGGTTCTTGCACGGTTCCGCGGTACCGACCCTGGTGCTTCCCCGACAAGAGTCGCTACGCTCTGTACTAGTAGACTACAAAGTCAATGCGATGATTCCCTTCTCCGATACGCTCCGCAGAGGTTACCCCATCGGTCCTCCTCCGGCCAAGTTCAAACGGTCTTCGAACTGCTACCCCTTCCTGAGTCGGGGCTAGGAGAGCATCATCGGAGTACCCATGGGGGTTTCGATCCGGCGGGTGAGAGATGGACATGCCGTTTGGTTGGATCGATCAATAGGAAAGAGGGTAAAAGCATTTTAGAAGCGTCTGCTGAGGGCGTAAGTATGAGCTCCGATCGTTGAGGATCTACACTTGGACGTTGGCGCAAGTAAGCAGTCAACAATGGGAACACCAGTATTACTGTAGCGAATACAAACTGCGTTCTTGCCTTACGACATCCTGGCCGTCGCTCGCTCCTCTCCCGCTGCAGCGCCGCCAGCCGCTCCTCCAGCCTTTCGAGTCGCGCGCCCATCGCCGCGAGCCCGTCCTCGAGCGTGGCGAGCCGCCGGGCCTGCGTTGTACCGGCGTCCTCATCCCCACCGTCGTCCGGCTCGCTGGGGTCTGCCGGGCGTGAATTTGCTCGCTAACTGGATGTTCGGCGGCCACTTGGGCACGTACATCACGCATAGGGAACCGTCTGGGAGGGGTTCAGCGCAGTATTGCCTCCTTTGTGGCCGTAGAACCACGAACGACCGCATGAGCGTCATCTCCTCGCGCGCGTCGCAGACGATAACTAGAGTCAAAAGGCGCGTCAGGATGGGGCCTATGGGGTCGGGGCCGGAGGGGGATTCGTCGGACGAACCGTGGCAGGTGATGCAGAGCCAGCACTCGTCCATGCACGTGTACTTGCGTCCTGCAAACCACACACGACCATCCCGTGTGTAGGCTAGCATTACGAAGGTACTTAGAGGCTCTGGCATGAATTCATCATCATCATCATCATCATCATCATCATCCCGTGTGTAGGGGTGCGGGAACAGACCCGGGTGGCGGGGGAGTGGAAGGGTTCTCGGGGACGTTGAGTCCCGCGCTCCGCCTCGCTGCGAACACTGAACGCCGAGGTGCGGGCTCACAAGAACAGAATGAATACCTTGGCGTGAAAGATCAAAACATCAACTCCTCCTCCTCCTGTGGCGTCATGTCTCCGCCAATCTCCACCCTCACTCTCCCGTGCACCACCTATGCCTGTCTGGGGTGGCGACGCACATACCCCACGAAAGCCGAGGATACGGATGCTCCGGAAACATTCAAGAAAAGAATGGCGCAGATGTTCCCGGGTATCTTTCAGGCTGAGGGCACGAAAAGGGGCGGATGAGGAGACGATGCAATGAACCATGTCAAGCAGACGCACCGAAGTGACCAGGAATCTTCGCCTCCGCATCGCCGGTAAGGTGTGCGAGCAATGGTTTCCCTCTCCGACGACAAGTTAGATCCACCTAAGATGGCACGCTGCGATGTATTGCGTCGGTGCTTGAGACTACTTTGAGCCAGCCGGAAAGCAAGTCCGCGCGAGACTGGTTCGCGCCGAGCGATGTTCCCGTGTGCAGGAAGCGGGGACCTTCAGAGAGCAGTCCTACGTCGCCCAGAGAGTGGAGAGAAGGGGACAATGGGAGAAAAGGAGAAGGAGAGAAGAGATAGAGGCTGATTCAGACATTGACGCCCTTGTGCACGTGTTCCCCCCCGCCACCCCTGGGCCCTGGCTGAACCCGGCCCCTAAGCATCTGGCCGAGATGGGGCTCTTTGCCTCTCTCCTTCCTCCTCGTCCTTTGCGCTACCGCACCCGACCGCCAGGCAGCTCAAACCTCCGCCCTTAGGTCGCCAGCAAAGTCTCCAGAATATCTGCTCGACGGCCGACCTCGGGCTCCGACTCATCCGATCATCATACACTGAACGGTAGTGACTATTCTCTTCTTCGCCCTCGTAGTTTTGGAAGTCCCCGAATATGAACCACTATTCGGGCCTCCTCTCTCTCGACGATGACGTCCTCCTCGCGATTTTCTCCTTCCTGGATTCCAAGGCGGCGCTGGCCACAGCTTCCACCTCCAAACGGGCCTATAGTCTCGCCATCTCTCGCGTCTTCGCCGACCTATCCTGGAGTACAGTCTGCTTTTCGGAAGACGAGGACGGCTCTAGAGCCCTCGCCTTTTCGCGCTACATGTGCGCACCTGAACTACCCCACGTCCAACATCTCCGCCATCTCGCCCTCGGCAACGCTATGAAACCGGTCGAACTGCCACCTCTACACGATATTCTTAGTCAAACCTCCAATCTCCGCACCATCGACATCGAAAACTTCGAGGACTTCCTCCACCCCGACGGGCACAGAGTCATCCAAACGATCGGCGCGATGCCCCACCTCGAGGAGGCACATCTGCAACGTATCGAACCCAAGGCGGTTTCTGGACTTCCAGTCATGTTATCTAGTCCGAACCTCACCACTTTGACACTGGGCTTTTCCTTCGCCCACTACAGCGGTGGGGAAGACGCGGATTTGCTGGCGCGAGTTCAAGGACAACCTCACCGTGAGTTTACCGACTGCTGCTCACGTCTACGTCTCTGAACTACCTTAGCGGCTCACAGACACCCCTCTTCGCCGCGCTCCCATCGCTACCGTACACCCACCTCGACTTCCAGATCAGGCACAGCTAATATCGCATCAACGAAACATCCGAGGCCGACACGTCGCGCATCGCCGGAGCGACCCGCGTCGCCTTCCTGAAGCCTCTGCCTGGTGAGCATGCGCGGACGATCCCTACCCTTCGCGTCCTCGCGCTCTCGTCGTGCAAGCCCATGCTCACCCGCCACGACACCGATGAGGGCCGCGCTGGGCGCACGGACGCGCAGACTACTACAACGGTATCTCTGAGAGGCTGCGGTGCGGGAGCACGAAGGTTTGCGGGACAAGCGATGGTGGTGGATCTCGAGGGGCAGGCGCCTGCGTGGGACACGGCAGAGATCTGGAGGGAGGACGGGGAGAGGGCGCGCGCGTTGATCGAGGGGTCGTCGACGACGCTGGGTGGTGGGTTCTCTCATTACCGCTTCTGCGAGCCTTGTGTACTAATTCCGCACGTTGCCAGGGTTCTTCAGCGACAAGTGCCGCCGTGTCATATAGTGCACTTCTTCTGTGCACCGTCCGCGATGTCGTTCGGTCAGAATCGCTGGCTCGATTCGCGATCAATGTTGGGCAAACACCGCATGCTCGGATTCGACAGGGATGACCGCTTCACCTTTCTACATCAAAGCACGGGCAGCGGCTCGGGAAAGTCTGGGCAAAGTGTTCCAGAGCGTCATTGCGTGCCGCGCAGGCGATGAAACGACCAAACAACCGGTGACCGCCGATGGCGGATGACGGACTGGGTGTGGAAGGAAGGCGTAGTGTGTCGGGGGATTCCGATGGTGTCATGTGCGAGGGCGGTTTGGCACCTCGGTGATCGCTACTATTCACAGGATATGTTCCGGTAGACGTGGGGTACGTCGAGTTCAAGTACGTCCGTTCCGATTGCAGCCTGTCAATGGTTCACTCGCGACCCGTGGCAGCACCACGCGGTGTCCGCTCTCGGGTACACGAACGAGGGCGTCGCCGCGTACGTCTACCCGAGCGCGAAGTACGGGAGCGTCCCGCTGTTCCGGATGTACTCGACGTCGGCGTCGGACCACTTCTATACGACCGACGTGGACGAGAAGCACAGGGCGGTCGCGTCGTTGGGCTCCTCGGACGAGGGAGTTGTCGGGTACGTGTACCAGGTGAAGGTCGCGAACTGTTAAGCATGTTATGGTGAGTGAGAATGATGCCGACTGTGATCTACGACTACGGATTGCTGACTCGAAAATCTTAGGAGCTATTCTGTTTTCGAGTGTGGAGTATCTATCCCTCTTTCGTACATTAGGTCACGCCCATGCTGAAACGGTCCAGCTGGGCATTGGCAGTATTCTTCGAGCCAGTGCGTGGACGCACTTCTTTCATATTGTATGCGTACCCAATCCCCTCTCTTGAGCATTCGGTCACGACAAGCACAAACTACGTGTACGCAGAGCACTGCGCGGGCAGTGAAAAGTCGACGGGATGCGAAGGGAAACGGCATCGATTGACCGAACGCGCGAGTACACGGAGAAGGGAGGAGGCAGAGGGCCAGAGCGCGTGCACGGGCGTGGACCAGGTCGACTGAGAAGGACGGCGGGATTGGTGCTTCCTATCAACGCGGAACTTGTGGACGAGCAGCGCGGCAATATGATCGCAGCATGCCCTAGGGCTCGCCGGCTATCTCCGCCTCGCGCGCTCCCTCATCTGTGAGCACCGGTCCCTGCCATCTGTTCCACCAACCCCCATGTCGCTCTCTAAGCTGACGCGGCGCATGCGCAAGTTCCGCAATAAGAACACACCAGCACAGTCAGATGGATCCAGAGATGCGTCAGCGACCTCCAGCACATCCGCAGTGATCTCGACAAATACTCCATTCGATGCAGTCGCCGAAGGGACCGTAGTCTCGCGACACGTCGAACTCCAACAAAGCACCGATTGTGCTCCGCTGCTCTCGCGCGAAGTTCAGATCCCAGTCCTCGAACCGGCCCCAGAACCTGACATCAACATACCCAAACGGAGCCTTCCCGTCGCGACTGCACCAATTCTACACGCTATGGACAGCGCACTCGTGGAGCTTGCGCCCATCCAAGACAAGCTCAACGCTGGATCAACGCGCTCTCCAAGCTCACCGAACCCTCTCAGTACGTCCATACGAGCTCGACGAGGCACATTTCCTGATGACGTGTTATGTGCGCAGAAGAACGAGGTGAGCAGTTCGCCATGCTCGCCAATCGGGGCTATGAAGCTGTGTCGAGCGATGTCGGGGCTCTGGCAGCTTCAGATGTCGCGCAGAAGATTGAGCGCGGCATCCAACGCTTCGCCGACAACATCCCATGGCTCATGAAAAGTCTCGACGAGCTCGCGAAGATCCATCCCGCTGTTACAGGTCAGCTGTACCGCTCTCCGCTTTCAGAGTGCAGCGTTGACTTTTGTCCCACACAGTGGCTGTTCTGGCTTTCAAAGCCGTCTACTACCTGGAGTCGACGCGCCAGGAGAATGACCAAAGGGTCATGACCTTGTATGTGACCATGAAAGACATGATGGTCGCCATGGTGCAGTACGTGCTCGCTGATATCGCTGCGCGATGACATTGCTGATTGTAGATAGACTCAAAGACATAGAGAGCACCTCCCATCGAGGGCTCGATGGACAAACGATCGAGGATCGGCTGGAGGCGCTCTCGAAACAGACGGCGGCAGATATCAAAGCGTGCGCCAACTTGTGCGACACGTTCCTCAAGAAGCGCACCTTGGCGCGCGTCTTCAAAAGCCCTATATGGGCCGACAGGTTGGCATACTGGGTCGATGTCTTCACCGAGCGGAAGGGTGACTTCGAATTCGCGCTCGCCATGCATTCCGCGACTACGGTGTCCGACGTGAAGCGCCAGAACTACGAGATGAGCACGAAGTACTTCCAGGCGCTTTCCCCCCGCTGGCGACACAAGACTCACGTTTTGCCGCAGGCTGGACGTCATCCTCGCGCTCTTCAACAAGTTCGCGCCTGAGTACGAGCGCAAGGTTGAGAAAGCGATCAGCGAGGCCGGTGGCTTTACCGCTGCGCGCAAAGACGACGAGGTCCTCAAGTCCCTCATCGCGATCTCCGTCCCGATGGGCCCCGACGCACCTGGCGCCGACCAGCCGGCGCATCTACGATTCACCGAGGTCCCCGCGCCCGAAGCGCAAGGGCCCGCAGGTGCAGGCGCGGGTGGGCGCCGCGAGATCGTGGGCATTGAAGGCGCGCGGGGCAAGTCGGACGGCACGTCGTTTGATGAGCTCAAGGCTGAGCTGCGCGAAAACGTCGACGACGCGCTCGAGCGCAACTTCGAGACGTTCACGGGGAAGTTTCAGCTCCAAATCGGCATCCTCCAGGACCCTCTCGAGCGGTACATTCGGGCGGAGAACGACAGGGTGATTGACGCGGTCACAGGGGCGATGGTGCGTGATTCGAATGAGCGAGTGGACAGCGCACTGACGTGCAGACAAGAACTGGCGGGGAAGCATGCCCGAGTGCCACCACTGCAGTGTGGTGCCGCTCTTCCGCTTGTACAACCAAAGCGCCAAGGACCACTTCTACACCACCAGCGCGCAGGAGCGCGACAACGCCCTGGTGTCGATCGGGTACGGCAACGAGGGTATCGCGGCCTACGTCTTCCCCGAGGCCGTCAACGGCGCCATCCCGCTCTACCGCCTCTATAGCGCGGGCAGAAAGGACCACTTCTACACCACGAACGCGCAGGAGCGCGACAACGCGGCGTCCAAGATCGGGTACACGAACGAGGACATCGCCGCGTTCATCTACCCGGACGCGAGGCACGGGACTGTCCCTCTGTACCGGATGTCCTCGCCGTCGGCGTTGGACCACTTCTACACGACGAACGCGGTGGAGAAGGACAACGCGGTTTCAAAGTTGGGCTACTTGGACGAGGGAATTACTGGGTACGTGAACCCGGGGAAACACGCGCAAGGCTGCTGAGCGTGCCACGGTGAGCGAGCACGTCACCAACTGTACCGCACGACCAACGCTTGCTAACTTGAATATCACAGGAGCTGGATCGCCTCTAGTGGGGCATTGAAGAGACACCGAAAGTCTCCATCGAACTTGTATGATGTTGCGGGTACGCCCTTGTATCGTCTCCGATTGGTACCTTCGCACTCGCTACGGACATGTCAAATCTAGTGTTTCGGTATCATGCGATTCATGCAATGTTTTCCACCTGCGAGGCGGTCATGAAGAGTGGTCGCCGTATTTATCACCGTATTCAGCATCTTCCACAACGTTCATCTCATGTGTTAATCATTCACCACCCTTTGGAAGTTCGCATTCTTCTCTCCTGTCGCGATGAATCTCATCGATGCGGTCGGCGTCACCAATGCCACTTCGTTTCTAATTCATCCGTGACGTCCGAGGAGTTTTCTGGTTCGTCCTCAAGAGCGTATCTCGAGACTGAATTTGATCTGAGTCCGGATCGTAAGCGACATTGCAATAATATGCCCGGGATCCGGCAGGACAGTGTCATGCTATCTATCCTCCATCTTAGACCTCCAGGGTAATGGACAATGGGAGATATCGCCCGTGTACCTTTAATAGTCTCGTCCAACCCACGACGCTGCGCTTCACTCCCTCGGCTCGGAAAGGGAACGCTGGCGCGGGCGGAGCGCGAGCCGCGGGGTCAAAAGCGGCTGACGGCGGTGCCCAAGAAGACACCTGCAGCGCGGCTGATCACCGGGACGTGAAATCGCAGCGGCACCCAAGTACAAGTGCTCACCGTCAAGACCAGTCCGGATGCGAGCGCTCGATGAGCGTGCACGCGCTCTCACCCAGTTCCCGCCAGGTCTCTACGAGCCGTCCCTCCTGGATCCACCGCCGCCGCACGTCCCGCACGTTCTCGCTGTGGCCACGCCCGCAGTCGCGCGACTGTCGCATCGTCTCTGTATACTCTTCTTGCTCTTGGCGGATCCCCGCTGGGAACGCGATCCGCTCCGAATGAGCGGTCAATCGTGACGAAAGTGCACGAAGCGGAATGATACGACCCCTAAGCGAGGATGCGGGGCGACGGGAGGGAGCGGGTGACCATGCTGTCGGGTTCAGGTCTCATCCATGCCGCCAGGAAGGTGACGTGGAAGAAGAAGCGAGAGGGGCTCCAGCACGGCCAATAGGTATATATATCTACGGAAAGTCCCATCAGAGATTCACAACAAGGTTGACAGCTCGTAAGAAGACTACTCACCGTGAACATCGGCAGGTCGCAGTCGACGAGCTCAATGGTGAGGTGAGAGACCTGGGCTAAGGCGTCTAGGAAAATAACGTTGCCCATACGAGGTCCCCGTAGAAAGGTGGACGAAACGTCGCTCGAGAAACGGACCGAACGAGGTGGATGTGCACAAGAAGAAGACCAGCTCGCGAAGAGAAGACCATCTATGCTCGTCCCACCCAACGTTCGTCCCCCACCCGTTGTGGGGATGGCAACACACTACGGGCGGGACGTCCATAGTGTTGAGACGGAACCGGTGTAAGCGGCGGGTGCAGGGGACCTGGGACACCGGTTCACGTCCGCGCGTGTTTAGACTCGCAAAACGCTTGTGCTTGCGGATCGTTGTCTTTCCCCGCCTCAGAGTCCCTACCGCAGTACAGGCCCGAGGAGACATTGGGGATAGCGACACGATAGGGGAGACGGGAAGCGTACGACACTGAGAGGACATCGGTGTGCTTTTTGGGAGAAAATCGTGGCCTTTCTGAGGGAAAGGAGCGTCGTCGTCAAGTGATGGAAGAGAGTCTTCCTCGCTGAGGTGCGGGTTCACAAGGACAGAGGGAATGCGTTTGCGCGGAAGCTCGCTGATGGTGTAGAACGCAAGAGATATATATCCGAGGTTAAAGAAGACATACCACGTCCCCTGTCGTACGCCCGTTGCATCCACCCCAGCTGTCCGCCACTACCATTCACCTTCTACCCTGCCAACCTCCACTCTCGCTCTCCCACCACCTGCGACTGTCCGGAGTGGCGACGCAAAGATTCCACGGGAGCAGGGAGGTGAGGGATGGATGCCCCGGAGAAATTCAGGGGGAGAATGGTCCGGACATCCGTCCTGAATACACGAATGGGGGCGGATGAGGGGACGACGCAACGAACCGGCAGGGCAAGCAGACGCACCAGAGTGATCAGGAAGCTCCGCGTCTACCTCGTCGGTAAATTTTGCGAGCAACGACTTCCCTCTCCGGCGACGAGAGTTAGATCGGCCTGAGGTGGTACGCTGCGATGGGTTGCGGTGATGCTTGAGACTACTTGGCGCCAGCCGGAAGACAAGTCCGCGCGGGACTGGTGAGCGCTGAGCGATGTGCCCGTGTACAGAAAGAGACGACCGTCAGCGCGGGACAGAGCGGCCTCATGTCGACGAGAGAGTGGAGAAAAGACGACGCCCGGGAGAGAAGGAGTGGGAGGAGAAAAGAGAAGGGGAGATTGACGCCTGGCTCAACGCCTGGGACGGCGCGCTCAGTTGCCTCTTGAGTCTCCTTCCTCCTCTTCCTTCACACTATCGCGCCACACTGCCAGGCGGCTCAAAGCCACGTTCTTAGGCCGCCATCACCGATTCCGGGCTCCGACTCATCTAATAATCAATCATATACTGAACGGTACTGTTTTCTCCTTCGCACCAATCGGAGTCTCTCTAACGTCTCCCAAGATGAGTCACCCTTCGGGCCTGCTCTCTCTCAACGACGACGTCCTTCTCTTGATTTTCTCTTTCCTGGACTCCCAGACGGCGCTGGTCACAGCTTCGACCTCCAAACGCGCCTACAGAATTGCCATCTCTTGCGTCTTCGCCGACCTATCCTGGGGTAGAGCGTTCAATGCGGATAAAGAGGATGGCTCCGAATCGCTCGCCCTTTCGCGGTACATGTGCGCACCCGAACCACTGTCCCAAGTACCCCGCATCCAGCATCTCCGCCATCTCGGCCTCGGTCACGGCATACACGAAGTTGATCTTCCTCCTCTTCGTACCCTCTTTTGTCAGGCATTTAACCTCCGCACCATCCAAATCGTGAACTTCGAGTTCTTCATCGATGACGACGGGCTTGTAATCCAAGCGATCGGCGCGATGCAACACCTCGAGCAGGCCCGTTTCATGCGGAGTGGCCCTGGCACGGTCTCCGCTTTGCCAAACTTGTTGTCAAGCCAGAAGCTCACCTGTTTGACATTGGATTTCGACGGTACCTACTACGAGGAGGACATCTTCGACTTTCCCGCTCTCTTCGCAGGCCTCTCCTCCGCCACGAGCATACGCACTCTGAGCATCACATTCAGCTTCTTCCTCACTGCGCCGTCGACGCGTGCCTCCCACGATGTCACTCTTTCCTCAATTCGTCACCTTACCCTCTCCACCCTTCCGGGCCCAGTCCCTGCACACATCATCACCCTCTGTCCTAACATCGACACACTGTCGCTCGTGCTCTTCTCCTGGAGTGAATTCTCGGCTGTGTTCTCTATGTCTGCGGAGGATCGATGGCCCGCACGACTGAAAGAGCTCGATTTTCCGAAGCACATCGCCATCGCGGAAGACACCGCCCGATGCATGAAGCCCGTCCACTGCTTATCATTAGGGAACGAGACCCCGATTCCCGGCGGAGCCGACTTCAAAACCGTCCTCCCGCTCCTCGAGACCTTCCGACCCACCGTCCTGGAGCTCCGGACGACAGGCGTTCTCACCGATGCGGGCCGAATGTGGGACACCCTGCGCGACGCGACGCCCCAGCTCCGCTCTCTCTCGATCGTCGTGGCAGGTGCCGAATATGACGTGCGTGAATACGTGGTAGGTCCTCTTCCCGTCTTAAGATTCCCGCACGGCTCGCTGATCCTCTCGCGATCGCAGGACCCGCTTATCGCCGCCCTCCGGTCGACCTCGCTCGTCCACCTCTCCCTCGAATTCCCGCCCACCTCCTGGGGCTTCGACGTCGCGAGCCTGGCCCACGCCGACCGTATCCGGACCGCGGAGATTCACCGCGTCGAGACGCTCCGCCCGCTCCCCTTGCGACTCGCCGAGGCCTTCCCGTCGCTCCGCGTCCTCGCACTCTCATCATGCAAACCCGACACCACGGATCTCGACCCAGAGGTGTTCCACACTCTGGCTCCGGCACATCTGATCGCAGAGCGTGAACGCGAGGAGGAGATCCTGCGGCGGTGGGGACCGGACAGCGAGTTCCTCAACGCGTCGATGCGGAAGACAAGGGAGCTCGACGTGGAGATCGCGCGCGACAAGCGGTGGTGGTGGGTCGAGGGCGAGGGGGCGGGGCGGACGCCGGTCGAGATATGGCGGGAGGATGGCGAGCGGGCGCGGGACCTGATCAAACGCACGGACTTCGATCCCGAGAAGGGTCTCGATGGTGAGTTTGCGTTGTGCTGTACTCGTTCGCGCTGTCGCTGATTAGCCTTGTTCGTAGGATTTTACTCGGAGAAGTGTCGCTATGAGCGGTAAATTTTCGTCATGCATATCTTCACGTTTTGTATTTGGTTGATTGGTGTAGGATAGTGCTTGTCTCGGCGTGTTTCTGACATAGATCAGTCACTGCCTTAATATGAAGTATCGCGTTGTTGGCAACATTCAATGTTTTGTCCCGACTCAAAACAGTAGAGAATACTTTCTTTACGATTGACTCCTCTGCCAGCACGCATGGCATGAAGTACCTCTTTTCATGTACGTCTCATTGCAAGTAGCAGAACAGATCGTACATATGTACATGAACGAGAAAGTACGTGAGTAGACGCTCGTTCCCGAAAAACGCGGGAAAGCCGAGTTCGGCCGGCCACCCTGCTTTTCCCATATTCCATCTCGACGTACGCAAATCCTCTTCCTTGTGTCTTTACCTGCTGCATTGTGTACCTTCCCCTTCCCCTTCGCCAGCAGAGAGAAGACATTTTACTCAAGCCGGAGGATTCTCCTGCACGCCACGCGGAGTTACTTCACAGGACTGGCACGGAGCCA